AAAAAAGTAATTTTGAAAAAAATATATATATATTCCCAAATAATTTTTAGAAACGTTTAAATAAAAATAAATTTGAAAAAAATATTATATTATGATATAGATGTGGATATTTATTCTTTTTTAGTTGCGGATATCAAACTATTTTTTGTCTCTTCCTTCGGTATTTTACTTTTAAAAATGCAATTATCAAATTTGAGTATCAAAGAAATACTAATTATTCTTTATTAGTAACACGAATATTAGAGTATACATACTCGCGTTACACTTTTCTTCAAAATATGTTAATCATCTATTATAGTAGATAATATTCATCCTATCGGCAGACTTAAGAGGTTTACGGCCACCTTATCATTATTTTTGAGTTTCTTACAACACAATTAATGATTCCAACGGTTTCAAATTTAATACAGGAAAATAGGGAATATTTTTATATGTTTGATATATAAACCGAGGCATATAAATAAAAATAATTTTACCTACAAACTCTGATTACCGAGACCGATATTAAAGCCTTCCTAACACGACTGAATTTATAAAAATTAATTATTATCGACATCAAGATTATTTTAAAAAATATATGCAATTTTATTTTTTAACGAGTATTATGTGAAGAAAAGAATATGTAGTCGCTCTTCAGGATAAACTTACGTATCTTGGTCTAACCGCCCCTTTCCTGTTTCCTTTTCACAAGCTTGCCGACTAATCTCTAGGCCGCAGCATCCTGTGGGTGGAATCGTTTGCGTATAAAGTTCCCCGGTCGAACTTGGAAATCATCAGTTTGAAAGTGTGCCTTCCACCGCTCACAACTTTCATTACTTCAAATATGTATCGCCACAAATCACATTGTGACAATAATGTTAATTGAAGTGCGCTTCACATAATGTAATAGTGAGAAGTGTAAAGCATTGTTTAAGAATAAGTTAACTTCATATATAAATTAAAGAAAGCGTATAAATTAATCATCTGCTTGAAAGATAATATTCAATGAAGTAAATTGAAAACGTAATAAGAGTGTCGTTTGCGGAACATTAAAAGTAAAAGTTATTCTTATCAGGTGAAATATAATCAGATAAATATCAACAGGGGAAAAGATACTGTCCTGTAATCGCTAATATGGTTTGTAATTTCAATATTTTTATATATGAATGGAATGTGTATAAATATCTATTATATAATATAACTATTAGTCAGTTACATTTATATATTATAGTTATTATAGCGCAAAACAATATCGACAGTGAAGATATTATCAAACGTGCGATTACGTTGCGGCTCGTCATCAGGCACTTTGCTTCTTTTTTTTATGCGAGCTGCCTTTTGAAGGGCAACACTGTGATCGAGCATAATCATCGATAAAACTATACGAAACATATATCATAAGAAATTTTAATTGCAGAAACACTTAAATGTATCAAAACATTCGATAATCTTTTGTTTTTATTTCCTCTATAAAACATGGCATGCATCACTTTTTCACTGAATTAATATAAGATGAAACAAAGATTTGTATTATGATGCGTAACATCTGAACACATATTATTAATAAAATATAATTAATAAAATATTTTCCAGTATAATATTGTTTCAACTCCTGCAATCTTCCCCTCAGAAGTACGAACTCAAATTAATCGTAATACTTTTAACCAGGCCATAATTCTACGGTAAGTTTTGTAAAATATCATTATAAGAAACCTTCTTCGCAGCGGACAGTAATTTATTCAATTTTTTTGGTACACATCCATTGGTGCGACATCACAATTCATGTAAATGTGTTAATAATTATTCCTTGTTAATATTATCTCGATATTTATTACGATCTTTTCCTACGCATGAGCTTATACATTTGTGGAAATGTGTATGTTGCGTCAAATTTGCAACGAATGTCTGTTATCATGTCATTCACACGATTTAGCAGTATTTGTTATACCTTGTTTAATTCATATTGTAAATCAAGTATATCGCTTTATTTCGCTATTTAGTTCTTGTGTGTGATTTTTCTCTGTAATTACATGAGTCTTGACGATTTATACATACATTGCAGAATAATAGTTGTATTAAAGTGATAAATAAATTATGCTACTTAACCTGCAGATCGATTTGTATAGTTATATATTGCCTATCTTTAATGCCGATGGTAAATTGATATGATAATAGTAGAACAAGATTAATAATAATAGAAATATAATAATAATATTCAGGTAACTTTAAAAACATTACTAAATCGTGTCTATAAATATAAAAGCAACAATGTGATTTAATTAAACGATCTTTTTTATAAGAATGGATAGTTATCAAATTAAGATTCTGCACATTATTCTATATAAAATGTAATGTTAACTTAATCCAACAGTATAGAGTGATCGGTTCTACTTTTATTTCTTTATTGCTTCAGATTTTATCTCCATTTCACTTGGACGTAAAATAACGATCCTTTTTCTTTTTGTCTCTCTAAAATGACCGATATATCCTTCGTTCACTCCTCTTTGTACAAATCACAGATTTTTTAAATAAACAATTAATGCGCTGTCCTTGGAACCTGTAAACACAGGTTCGGGGCAAGTACAGCTCGCTATTTCTCCCTTTTTTCCTTTTTATCTAAAAATATGACATGCGACTTCGACGTACTTCGCTTAAAATCTGTCCTCTATAAAAAGTCAGTCTCATCGTCTATAAGGTCGCGATAGTGTCTTAGTCTCCCTAGAGGTCTATGTACACCATTTGCGGCGAGGATAACGATGGTGATCAATTGTTCAAAATCGAACGCTTCTCGAGATTCACCGACGCGCTAAGCTTCTAACAGACCTTAAGTACACGCGATTTAAAATTTTGATATTGACTCTCCGCACGTGTATATACAAAATGTTAATAAAAATGACATTAATGAATAGAAACTTGAAATATTTACTTAACGAAATTAATAAAAGCTAAATATATAGTTGCTAATGGTATTTATTCCAAGTAGTTTACGGGCTTTACATAAATATCTTCTTTCATGTATTCTCCTATGTAATATTTTTCTCACTCATTCTCTCTCTCTCTCTCTCTCTCTCTCTTCAATAACGTTGGATGAAATTAAATACACCATGCAACGTGTGCCGAAGGTGTGTTCATAGGACTATGAAAGAATACGTGATCTTGTTCTAATACTGCTCTCAAATATTGAAATAAATTACATTCACCCTGTTCTTCCACGCGGCATTTGTTTAAAATTCTCTTAATCTAAATTAACGGCACACGTTCGGATCACGCATTCTCGGTCTCATGACAAACTAGAATGATTTGGAATTCGATCGTAGATCATATAAGTAGTTATATAAATATTTTTTTTGGAAAATCCCTTTTGGAAGATCCAATACCTAAATAAAAGCGAAAATGAACGAAAAATTAATTTCAGAATTAAAAAAATATTTTTAAACACGAAATAAAATTATAATTTAATATTTAAAAATAAATATAAATATCTTTTTTTAAAATTATAACTTAATATTTTAATAATTAGTAAAATGTTTTAATTTGAGCGTCTCCTTTCATATATGATAAACCTTTTCATTATTGTATTTTATTATATATAATCGTATAATAATTATATATTATCATATAATTATATATTATCATATTGCGGTTATATATAATTATTTACATTCTTTTACAGATATTGGATTTTTCCAAAAGAAAGTTTTTGTTTCAAGCGTTCTATTTGATAAAAAAAAAAAAGGAAAAAAAATTGTATTTCACAAATGTACAAATTTTCGCCGCAGGATACCACCGATATCCAGCGCCGCGTCGAAGGGAAAACGTTTTCGCGTGTCCTAAAATTTCCCCCTATTCGACCTATGATAAAACTCTGTCTTATAATTAAATGTCTTGTAAGGTCTCAAGAGTTATAACTATAAAAAAAAAAATGAAATTTATAACATATAGAATTCTTTTTCTTTTTTGCATAACAGGTCCGCTACTCTTCAATACCTCATAATCATAAATTTATCGATGAGGTTTTTAAAACTTTATATCATATTGCATAATAATATTAGTTGACCGCTGACTGGAACGAATTGGAACGAACGTTCGAGTGACCGTGAAGCTAGAGCAACATTTGACCAAGCAGATTGTCAAAACAAGTTGAATTTATATTGTAAGATTGATATTAATTCGGTACATAATGCATTTCATTTATTCCAGTATAATGTCAATATAAGTCTGTTCTTTTTCGAAGAATTCTTAACTAGTTTGGAACTAGTGCAATAAATTAGAGTGAAACAAACTATACATGTTTCACTTTAATTTATGGTATTCGGGTTTATCAGTCGAATACTTGAGATGAAAAAAAGAACGAATCTTATATATATATATATGATTTAGAATAAATACATATTAAATTTCGACGTACTGTTTGAAAAATGACCCTATTGTAATTTGTAGCGTTAGACAACAATATAAATCTTCTCATGAGCTTCACGATCATACACCAGATAAAGAAAACTGGAATAAAACCAGATAGACAACTGAAATCGGATAGCAGGACACCTGTGGGAGATAACGGGACTTTATACAAAAACGATTCTGATCGAAGTTCAATTTTTCCTCGGTTGTCTTATTATGGCTAGTATCCGAAATAACAAAGATTTTCGAACGGTATCTCGTAATCAAATGGAAAGTCAATTGCAATCGGAATTGTTTTTGAATAGATCCAACGCGCGTGCAGTTAATAAAACTGAATAGATTAATGACGCATCATGAGTCTCTTATAAAGCTATTCAGTTTTTCCGCGGTTATCGTGAAAAATACAAGATGGAAGAGAGACAGCCCAATATTAATATCAATATCGATAAAAATACTATTAATAATAAAATATGCACAGCATATTTTAAAATACTAAACGACATTCTTCAATAACATGCATTAACAAACGATAAAACAGTCTTTCAAAATGTAACAGACTTTTCTCTATTAATAAAATTCTTATAGACACTGGTATTAACACATCGAGCTATCGTTTCGTGCAATATCATCTTGTAAATAGGAAACCGGTCTAACCTGGTTCTATCTGACCTACCTCCAGCTCTCAGCTATGCTACGAGTGATCAAACTCGCGAGCTTTATTTCGAACGAGATGAAAGGAGGGTTTCAGCCAGCGATCATTGTTGTGGCGAATGTAAGCGTATCTCTGTCGTTACGGTCGTCATCGTCATTGTCATTGTTATCGTCATTGTCGCCGTCGTTGTTGATGTCATATCGCGATGGTCACCAGAAGTGCGATTGAACGTAACCGCCGCTACCGCCGCCTCCCATTCCGATCGGATTAAATCGATGCGGGTGTATCTTCTCCATTCGCATGGCACCTGGACCGCCACCACCGCCGCCGCCGCCTCCACCCAGGAAGCTGCCGCTATGAGGCCCACCACCACGCGGCCCAAAACCACCTGCCCGGCCCAACATCCCCGGACCACCGCCGCCAATACCCATGCCCATTCCAGGTGGACCCCCGATGCCCCGAGCCCGTCCACTGCCACCGCCGCTGCCGCCGCCGCCGCCTCCGCCGCCGCCACCGCCGCCGCCGCTGACTCCGAGTCCGCTCCCTCCTGGAAAATTGAGGATGCCTAAGATGAAAGCGAATAGTTAAAAGCTCTTTTCAAACGCGAGTCTCGATACCGACATTCCTCCTTCATAACTTTTTTTAACGTAATGACATTTTAAATGAAATAAAGATAGGACACTATATTATTTTTTTTTATTGAATTTGCTTACATATAAATTATACTAGGTTTGACACCGAAGTATCTCGAAAATTATAAAAGATACGGAAAAATGTTTTAGACAAAAAAGTTGTAGGGTTATTTAAAAAAAATCTATTTATTAATCATATCCATTCGCTGGACATCTTGCTATATAAATCTGGATAACTTTAAAACGGTTGACTCTAAGTGAATTAAATTAGTTTTGGAAAGATTGCAGGAAGGACTATAATAACATGTAATAAAACCTTAGCAACGACACCCAATATCAAATGGACAGGATCAGTAAATAGATTTTCTTAAACAACCCTATAATTTTCGTCTAAAACATTTTTTCGTAGCTTTTATAATTTTCCAGATATTCAAAGTTAGTCAAAGATAGTCAAAGTTAAAATAAGGTACCTAGTATATATTTTAATATATTTGTTAATTGACTTTAATTTTTTCGGGAGATGTTAGACAGGCGAAGGAGAAGCGTATCTTTTTTTTTTCTTTCAAAAAGAGGATGATGTGAATGACTTAGACTGGGTATATGTCGGTTTCTAATATTTTAATCAAATTTAATGAGCGACCGCGGTGAGGAAACTTGCGATTGCGGCAACGAGAATAGGAAAGATATAAGATATCGATAAGGTCTCCGGAGGATCATTAACGATGTGTTTCTTTTCCTATTTTCACTTTTTGAAACGTCAGTCCTCCAGAGTGTTACTTTTTGTCCTGATGATTTTCTTTTTCGTGAAGAAAGCTTCATCGTACTTCAACTCCGATTGTTGAGAGTATAAAAAACTCCACCGAGATCGGAGGTAAGCGAAAAAAGACATTCGCGAGGCGTACAATGCCTGCACAATCTCTGATTTTCAACACTTAATTTTAATTAGCGTAATCCCCGCGGGAAACGAATTTGTACAAAAGTATCACAGAGAGCCATTATTTCTGTGTGTGTGCGTGTGTGATATAGTTCATTCTTTACTCTTTCGCAAAATTGGATTCGTCGAGTGTTTGGATGTGCTTAAATTCGATTCAACGTCGCGCGAGGGATCTATCGATTATACATCATCAGCACAAAAAGCGGCGGTTGATACAATAATTCACATTTAATGTTCAATACATTTAAATACTAATATCCGTACAACGAGATACGAACATTGATCTGTAACTATATTGTGTTATAGTTGCGTGTTTTATGTATGTATGTATATACATAATCGCTATGTGTACGTGTATCGCATTGTTGTAAACATTAATGTTATAACGAGACGCTAGACTCGCCTAACGACGATAACTTTCGCTAATTCAGAGATTTGCTTGGACTATATATGTATTTTTATGCCATAACGAACAAGAGAAAAATATGATGAATGTATCGCTGAGAATGTTGCGAGTGTTCTCAAACGAGGTCGAAGAAGCCGAATTTTTCCTCTCTAAGGGCTCAGGCAGACGAGAGCGATTTTTGTAGCGCCACAATCGCAAACGTCGACCGTTCATACGGAGCTATTTTCTGGCGCTACAGAAAAGCATCGCGAATTGTCGCGAATACGTTCACATAGCTCCGTATGAACGGGTCGACGTTTGCGATTGTGGCGCTACAAAATCGCTCGTCTGCCTGGGCCCTAAAATTTTAGAGTGTTCCCAAACTGTCACATTTTTCTTCGGTTAGAGATAATTTACAATATTAAAAAATATGTAATTCACTAAAAAAAACTAATTGTAGTATTATATCCGAGACTAAAAAAAAAAGGTAAAAATTTACGAATTTGGATATTTCGGGTAAGTAACTTTATCATATGTTGAAATCTACGAGGGGGAATATTCACAATTCTTTACAAATTCATTATTTTCTACCAAGACAAATGTGATATATTTGTGAACACCCTGCGCATTGTTTACTAAGCTATTATTTACTTACAATTAGCCATAATTAATATCGTGCATCAACTAAAGTAAGACGCTATAAAAAAGCTGTTTTTTTTTTTTTTTCGATGTATTAGTTTGCTGTTACTTTTCGGACATAATTATATCTATGTGTGTATCGTACACGGCTAATATATCGAAATTAATTTACAGGCATTAAAAATTAGATCGAAAGAGAGGAAGAGAAGCTTCGCTACTAATCCACTTGTTTCATCAGTATATTTTTTTCTTTTTGCAATTCTCGTTAGTATTTCCTTATCCTTATCACAGCCATCGTTAGCACTACTGGACTTCGGGCATTTCGCACATTCTTCGATCCGTTAGACCTTACAATTTACTACTTAACAGTTTAAATTTTACCTAATTACACAATTGCATCTTTCGTTTAGACGCCAAGTCGAGCTCGCATTTCGGACATCCAGTCGCAAATTAAAGAAAAATGAAAGAAAAAAATCGATTTTAACATTACAATATAATAGACCTAAATTTTATCGATATCGCTCTTGCGCAAATTAAAAATTATTTAGTTGCTAATCTTTCACCTTATTTAATATTAAATAATAATCTATACGTCGGCGTTTAATTTATATATTTAATTTTTACATTTGTCGATACACTTTTTATTCGAATTAAATAATATCACAATATTTTCGCCAATTGGATTATCCCCAAACGATGGAAGTTACTCTCATGGCGTACGGAAAGATGCTTTATATTAATCTATCTACTTTTGTGAGATAAAGTTTTCAACATTTAATCGATTTTCTTATCTTCTAGCAGCAATCGTGCTGTGTAACATATTGCGTATCGATTATCGGATCGATCAATCGATCGATCGTCGGAGATCATTCAAATCATGTGGGAAAGTTTAATAATAAATATTAATAATCAAATGTCTCAAATATTTAAATAGGGAGAAAGAGAAAAAGAAAGCGCACCAACACGCACATGTTTTACATGAAGCTTCGACAAAAGTCAAAGCATGTAAAAAAGAGTATATAAGCATGTATCAAAGAGAATATATAAAAAAGAAGTATCAAAACAACGAAGTTGATGCACGTTGTTTTTTCTTCTTTCTACGCAACACTCGGCGTGAACTATCCATGAACGTGTATTGGCGTTTAAAAATGTAGTCCATCGAAGCTCGCAGCTCTCCGACGATCGATCGGTCAGTAACCGAAGCGGGTCAAATGCCGGCGCATTCGCAATATTAAATTCCTAAAAGTTTCCCGCTCGCCTTTACGCGAAGCAGCGTCTAAATATCTTACGTTGAGCAAGGTGGATCGTGTCCTCAATCGCGTTACGTGATTGCGGTTTCAACCCTAACTGTTAACGTCATCGGCGACCTTCAGGCGCTTATACATTCTTCTCTATTGACTTCCCTAATTAACATGCCCATCGGGTATAACTGAATCAATCGAGATTCGAGAGATGTTTTTACGCGGTCTTAACAGTCTTCTCGAAATCCTCCGAGTAAAGATTATTCCGCTATTATTATAAAATTAATTTTATACTATAATTATCATATGTCAGCTAGTTAGGGATGGAAACGAATTTCTCGCAAACGCGATCTACAACAAGACAGAAGAAAATGGAGTGTGATCAGACACGCGGAACAAATCATTTATCGCCCATTCGTATAATAACATTATAATATAAAGAATTGAAAATCAAACGAATCTCTCTTGTAACTGGCATCTTCGGAATAAAACCAGATTAGGTTTAGGCAGTTATCTTCTAACTATTTTTGCAGCCAAATAGCTTAAACTATTTAACATACGACATTGAAATAATAACACATTTTATTAGCGTATAACAATCAAAGACTAGTATAAGAATAAGTATATATCGATATTCTTATTGTAGTAAACATATCTTATTTTGTATGGTTTTGCGGCGTTAAAAAATCACATTATTAGGAAATCTCGCATAATTATGGGATTTCCAACGAGAGAAATTACCCGTACTGTTGTTATGTCTCGAATATAATCGCATTCCATTTCCTTCTGTCGCACGCAACTGATAAGATGCGTTAAATCCACGGAGGATGGACGATTGTCAGGGTCGAAGGACATATACTCATACGTTACTTCTAGCTCTCAGGATCCACCTCTCTCCTCCGGCTCTCTCATCGCCGGATCGATCTAAGCGCGTCGTTCGAGATTCAAAGAGAGACAAAAGAGTCTAACAGCGAGAATCGTTAAAGAGACCGCGAGACGATGCAAGGTTCTATCCTACAAAAATCGAGCGATAACTGGTCTATCTCTCAATATTGTGTATTATCTCTCAATATTGTTAATTATTGGTATTCGCCAAATGTATTCGGTAGCATGACTTTTCGCAACAGGCCGATATGATCGAATGAAAGGCCGTGTGCTTCGTTTGTTGATATTCGTTTGCATCCGGTAACTGATACATTAAAGCACTGATTTTAATATTTTTTCACAATGTTTATCGTGTCCAACTCCATGTATAACCAAAAACTTCGTCTCTGTGATCTTATATATTATAGATCAAAATTTCGTTTTAATTTCCAATTTTAATTTTGTTAAGATAAAAGTAAATAACAGAAAAGCCGTGTTTGAGAAAGAATTCTTTTTCTGAAGTTTTACCAAATTAATTTTTTATTTTAATCTGTCCCTACATTTTTCCTCTGTATTTAAAAACCATCTTCAAAATTCAGACATATGTTATAGCTAGTTATAAATCGATCGTTGTATTGCCTTAAATGTACGTTTCATTTCGCTTTTTCCACCCGAGACTGCCACCGAGAACATAGTTGGACGCGTCCTCAGTTTGAGGAAACATACGTATGTGATATTTTTTTCTCTAAATTTTAGAAAGATATTGATCCCTACTAGAGAGAGAAGAAACGATGTTTATTTAATTATTCATTTGATCTGCGAATTTTACTAGACTGTAGTGACTACAACTGCCGCATATGTTATTTTTTTGTATGTTAAGAATTAATACTATCTATAGACAACAATTGAGAAAGTTTATTCTCGGATTTCGTTCGGATTATTTTCTAAATCAGTAAGATCAATCTCGCCAGACCGACTATTCTTGTACGTATTACGTGTATAACATCTTATGAAGAATCGCTGTATCTAATCCAAAAAGGATATTTAAAAAAAATACACTGTCAAAATCTATTTAAATTACGTATGAATTAATCGATCTTCGCAGTGCACGATAACAATTCTACTGTGATATTTGGAACAACAGAAGTCGCAAAGATTTAAAATTATGAATTAGATACTAATATACGTTGCAACTCTTGGGCCGGTTATTCTACCTTTGGATAAACTATGTGATAATTTACCTATACCGGATAAACAAAAAAGTAAAAGAGTATAAAGAGAGTAAGTAAGACAGTTTACCGAAAAGTGGAACAACTCAGCCTTAGACTCGTTGAGTAACTATCATTTATTTTGAGCAAAAATCATATTGCGGTAATTGGTGTATGGTGATTCTCGATATAATTGCTGCTCAAGTTATATCAAGTAATTACAATTTTCTATTCAATAGTCACATCTCTCTTCAAATTTCTTGCCTTATGAATACAAACTCGTTGACCAAGATTTAATTTGAAAATTAAATTTATGAAACCTCTTATAAACTAACGTTTCTCTAAAGTATAAATATAATATTTTTAATCTGCTAATACAAAATCAATCGAATCTTTCCGAAACGAGAAACAGTCCTATTATAGTTTACTTCTCGTCTGTGTTTGTCTTGTAAATTTACACATTACACTTCTGTTGGAATACACTCGATATTCCTCGAAATTTTTGCTAACGGCAACTTAAACGCTAAAATTGACTTAATTTGGAAATTACGCCCTAATTGTACAAAACGAGATACTACGTGATATAGAATTAACGCAATTCGTAATAAACGATTCAGCGAGCATAATTTATATAATTAACAAACAATTTGCTATCTAAGACCGTTCGGATACCGCCGAGCAGAGAACGTTCCTCGCACAATTACAGATCACATCGATAGAACACATTGCGAGTAGGTATACGTCTATAATCCCAATTCTATGAATTAAAGTCGCGAAGCCCTCATTTGATTACAACTGCAAGGACGGTCGCGTGTGCGTGTACATAACATTCGGAACGTTCAACAGCAAGGCGGCGACAACAATAACAATAACACTTGACGCTTTTCAGTATAGATAATGAGCAAAGCGCTGATATTTATTCCTCGTCGAGTAAAGACGCTCTCCTTCATGAGTCAAGAGGCATGCATAGAAATGAAAACGTCATTGATTAGGTCTTTCATATAAAATTCCATTTTTGCGCGTTACAACGGCTCGATAAGGACACAGCATCATGCACTTGGATTGTTTACTAAAGCATAAAATCGCAATCAATCACAGCCAAATCGCTAGATACAAATTGTATTTTTACGAGCGAGCTTTCATATCCTCTTTTTTTAACGAATTATTAATATCTAAACGATGAACTAATTGAGAAATTAATCTTTAACTTAAAATATTCGACTCTTTAAGAAAGAAGTATTAAATAATTCTATTTTCCTTCACAAACAGCCAAAACATAACAATCGAACGCTTGACAATACGTAATTTACAAATCGCCTAACTTTGCTTTGGATTCGCTTAAAATTAAACAGGACTGGAATAGAATTACCAGTGGAAGACAGAGAACATACACATGTTTGTGAAAACAAAATATATATTTCGAAAATAATATAGATATGTATATATAACAAAATTGTATCGTACAGAAACTTAAACAACGCCTTAGTCGCGCTAAAGCACAAACAGCATCAGCCATATGGAACATATTTAATATCGGCGGATGCGAAGCTACTGTGTGCTCGATATAACATTGTACATGGGCAACGGTAGTACTTTTAACAACAAAGTATCAAGCAAAAAACTAACAATAGCAGCAGAGCTAGAAAAAAAAATAACAGAAGATAGCGAATCGTAAATAATCGATCCAACTAGCCAGCATCCAAACTGAAAGTTTCTATAACGGCACTTTGTCTCTTTTATTCTGTCTCCCGGATAGAGTGTCTCCCGGTGTGTAAGGTGTTTATATATCGCAAATGCCGCGTGCCACTGACTAGCCGTGTCTCGTGTACATAATTGTACGACGCATACTTCTCGTCATCGGATCACACACAAGACTCTTCTATCACAAACACTGCGTTCTTGCCTGCTCAATCGTATATACAGAAGAGCCCTTTAAGCGGCTTAGTTTTTTTTTCTCTTTTTTTTTTCTCATTTTTGCTCGGAAACCGTCCGAGCGAGACGGAGTCTTTTTTTTCTCTTATCTCGAATCATGCGCTTTGAAAAAGCAGAAATAAAAGAAGAAACGAAGACGTATAAAGAAGTAAAGAAACGCGGGAAACCGTGTCTCCAGTCGTTCGGTGCGAAGAGATCTCTCCGCGTTTTAACGTATAGTCGTGTGTATAACGTGTCAGAATATAAACACCCTTTCGGTTCTCTGTGTATACAAAAGGTGCTTAATGCGTTAAGTCGTGGTGGTCTGATTTAGATGCAGCCATCTTATCTGACAAAACATTTCAATGTTAGACAAACAGTATGACAAAAGGAAAAAAAAAAGAAAAAAAAAGAAAAAATACAATGTGTATCTATAAATAGCAACCTACAGAGTCAACCGTATTCGTCTGTCTATATTGATATGCACGCGCGGTAAAATTCAAGATCTTTATCCGAGACAGAGGAAAAATGTTGAATGTGTGATGCAAGACATCTCTAAAACACTGTGGTAGTAACGTGTGTCGCGATGTAAGAAGCACATTGCGCCATATAAAAATGGTCTACATTAGCAAATCTGAGAAATATATTCAGATACGAGAAAAACGAATATATATGCTCGATCAAAGAAATCATGTTTGATATATATCAGGCAAATAGAATGACGTATATAATAATCTTTCGATCAAACGAAATAATTGTAATAAACATCAAGTTTCAACTAGTGCTCTCCTATATAGACTAGGCATATTACAACAATCGTAATAGAGATGCAAATTATATATACATATATATATATAAATCATATTTAAACTAATATATATATGTATATATATTTTTTTTAGCATAAAAGCCAAAAAATGCAAGCTTCACCAGGCAGTGCTAATTCTGTTTGTACTTGTTCGAGAGAGCTCTGAATTCCAACGAGAACAATCGCGCATAAGAAATTCCCTTAATTTATCGATTACCACTGCCAAGCTATGAGATAAAATCTAGTAATGCAGCGGTCTCGCAAGATATAAAATTACTTACCGCGGCTTTGATTGTATCCCGCCTGCCAGCCCGCATAATACGCCGCTTTTTGTTTGCCATGTTCCTCCGCAATTTTTACGCTAAGCGGCTCTGATCCACCCTCTGGTATTGTACCGTGAAGTTGTGTGATAGCCTCTTGGGCTTCCTCCCTTTTATCGAATCTATATTGGGACAAATTAGAAAACAATTTGGAGTTCAAGTTTTTTATCAAGTTTTTTTAGCTAAAACATAGCGTGGGAGACTCTTACGGTCTTAAAAATCTTTTATATAGGAGCGCAAGTTTCTGTTATTTATTTTTAAGCTTAATAAAATTAAAATGAGATAAACAAGATGCATTTTAGCAAAAATTCCCAGCTGTTGGCATAGATTGCAACAGCTATTTCCAACAACCTATTTCCCACAATTCTGCTATCTCTAGTTTTATTCACGTTTTACAGTTATCTGGGCCAAACTAAAGGGAGCATATCAGAATTGTGCAACTAAAACCAGGAGCTGTACACAAAAATACTTTGGCAGGAAACTATCGTAAAATAAGTACGCGTACGAATATATGCACGACCGTAGTTGTGTAACGATATAGTATGATTGTCGCGAGCAGCTGTTTTGAATTTGTTCCAATCTTCAATAACGGTTATTTATACTCGACGAAAATGTGCAAGTGTTATGAATTGACATATTTGTTAAATCACTAAAGTCACCATCTCTCACTCTTTTTTATGTGTGTATAGCGAAACAGAAATACTGTACTTGGAAACGCAAACTCTTTATCAATATTTAAAAGGAGGAGAAAAATCGGATACGATAAAAAATAATTATCTCACCTAACAAACGCTACTCCTCTTGGTAAACCGGTCAGTTTATCCCTCAATATATTCTTCTGCACAATATTGCCGTATTTACTGAAGATTTCGTCGATTTGGCTTTCCGTTATATTTCTGTAAAAATAAATGGTGTCTTTCAATATGATTTCCGTATTATCAAGATCAATTGTGGTGCTGAACAGTTTAGCGATAAAGAAATCACTTGCCAAGTGAAAGACCCAGGTTCAATTTCCGATCTTATACAACTACCTTAAATATAAAGAATTATAAATGGAAAAAGATTCTATTGTAAAAGGAGAACATGAAATATAAGGAATAAAAGAAAAAAAAACATAAATTTCGAGATTAGATAAGTGCATATAAATTGTATAATTCTTGCGCCTATTAGAAGACAAAAATTCAAATAAGAAAAATAATTACCTCGGTAAATTCGTAACGTAAAGATTCGTTTCTTTAATTTCTTCTCCAGAAGGCCGAGCGAACGAAACCTTCAGACGTTTATTTTGCACTTGAAGACCATTTAATGTGTTTATCGCCGTCGCTGCATCCTCAGCTTTTGCGTAGTTGACAAAACCAAAGCCGTAGCTGTAACCAGTCTGAAACGTAAAACGTATAATTAGTTTTATTAGGAAAATCATTCTAACGAAATTTCCAATAGAAAGTACGTAGCCTGCCTTATAATCCTTCATAACGCGACAGGATTCGACCGGACCAATCGTGACAAATAGACTGTACAGCTCCTTCTCATTCATGTTTTGCGGAAGGTAATTAATAATCAGATTCGTCTTTGGTTCCTCATTGCCTTTGATCTGTTGTTGTTGTTGTTGCTGCTGCTGTTGCTGCTGCTGCTGCTGAAACTGGGGCTGCGGTTGTTGCTGCTGCTGCTGTTGTTGCTGCTGCTGCTGCTCTCGCTGGTCGGTCATTTTGCGGCACTGTTGCTGCGGATCACCTCCCGATGATGAAATCTGATTTGATGCGACGATCTGATTCAACGCGACGATCTGTTGCTGTTGCTGCTGCGCGACCGAGTCCACCACCAGCAGTTGGTGTTGTGGTTGCTGTTGTATACTCCAACTGGTACCGTCCAGCGAAACGACCATCGACGGGAGGATCATCGGCAAATACAAAAAATATAAACAAATTCATTACTACGTCTTCCCCGTACGACAACGCCGCTACGCTCGTAGGCCAGTCTGCGCCCTCGAATGCTCTCATCTTTCTCTCTCTCTCTCGCGCTTTCTCTCGCTTTCTCTCTAAGCAGTCTCAAAATAAATAGAAAATAAATGTGCAATATATGTATTGATGCCAGACCTGTGTGTGAGAAACAAACAAACAAAGGCAAGTAAGGACAAAAACAGAATCAGATGGCAGGCGAAATCAAAGTAGGTAAGCATAAGTAACGAATACCGTATAATAAAATGCTCTGCTTGAACAACAAAATTCAATACAACAATTATAGAAATATTTTTCAAGTATCGCAAACTTTAGACTTTTTTTTTTTTTTTTTTTAATACTTGTAACTCAGTTTACAGAATCGTTTACGTGTGTCAATGATGCAAACTTTAACGCATCTATTTAATTTGAGTTTGATTTTTTTAAACGTCTCGTGTAAAAAAAGGGTAGCTCCACGATCGAGGAATTCGGTTAGACAAGGATCGAGGCAACAACGCGTTTTTACCTCGTGCATCGCGAATACCCGTACGATTCAAGCGATATCGAATTTCATTGAGCGCCCCTTCCTCCTGCTCCCCCCTCAATTCACGCCTCGGGGCCTGAGAAACACGCGCGGACGAAAAGGGGAAAATGAATTTCCGCGTACTCGCTCGTGTTTACGAAGCGATCGCGACCGTCATCGTCGTCGTCATCGACATGACGACGACGATGTCGCGACGTCCTCGACTACGCCGTCAACAAAAGCGAACGGCGCGAACAATAAAAACACAACCAGGGACGGGGGCAAGACAGAGTGAGAGAGAAGGGATCGAAGGGCGTGGAGGAGACGAAGAGGAAGGGAAGGAAAGGGAGGTGGAATTTTCCAAGTTCGCCCGAGAAAACGTTAACCTTTTGGCCTTATTTTGAAAGAGGCCCGGGAAAGAGCGCGAGCTAGGTGTCTGGCTGGCCCCGGCGAATCGTGAATCGACCAAGCTGTCAGAGGTGTGGTGAGGGGGGGGGGAGAGAGAGAGGGGAATCAAGGGGAACCTCCGGGAGCGGAGGGAGGGAGGGAGGGAGGGAGAGAGAGAGAGAGAGAGGGAGGGAGAGAGAGAGAGACGGAGGGAGGTGCATAGGGATCCCGAGGTGGGAGAAGGAAGCGAGAGAGCGCGCGGTACTGGATAAAGGAAGCGGAGAAGAAAGGAAGGGCTGGTTTCGTATGTGTGTCATGTGTGTATTCTTACGGTGTGTCCGTTATATACGTACCCTCGAGTGTATCACCGAACGGAGTATAAAATCGAAGAGGAGCGCGCGCGGCAGCGGGAGAACAACCACCGCCGTAGGGACGCTCTCTTTTTTTCTCTCTCTCTCTCTCTCTCTCTCCCTCTTCGTCTCTCTTTCGCGCGTCGCTTTATGCGCCACTAATGCGCACCGACGACGACGACGACGATAATAATTATGTAAGCGCGCGTATTGTCAGCATCGCGTCCGTCGCGTTACTAGCCGTGCCGTGTGCCGTGCACCAGCAGCCCACGACGTAATCCGCCGCGAGCGCGCGCTCGTTGCGCTCCGCTACGCCGGACGGAGACTCCAGCGGCGGCCCCGCGACGCTCCCGGGAATTCGGCCGTGCTCGGTAGAACCGCGACTTCCTTCGGCGCGGCGCGGCGCGACGCGACGCGGCGGAAAGGGAGAGGGAGGGAGAGAGAGAGAGAGAGAGAAAGGAGAGGAGAAAAAGACGAAGGAGAGTGCAGCGCGCGCGCGCGGCAGCGGGAGAGGACTGGCGAATGCAGGCACGACGACCGATACACCGCAACGCGAGCGCACTGACTGAGCCCCAGCCGGCCAGCCCTGACCTGTCTCTCTCTCGCGACAGACACCCTCTCGCGGCACGTCGCCCCACTATCGGATTATGCCGCTCGTATACTCGACTCCGGCTATGCCGCGTGCGCGACGCGGCATAGCGTGGGTCCCGCCTAAATAGCGAATTCGGTCGCCCAGCGGCGCGCTGCACGCCGAACTTATTTTTTTCGAAAAAACCGTAACGTCTCGACCGGATAAAACAGCCGAACGTTTCTAGCGGAATCGCGAGCGTTATCGCGTTTTGCGGGCATAGATAACTGCGGACCCTGTTACGCGCTCAAATTGAAAGCTAGGAGGTATCTCTGCGCCCCCCTTCACTACGAAATAGCACTTCTATAGCAATTTGCTCAAAGTCTCTCTCGTTTTTCATGATCTTGGATTTTTGCGCGAGTATCTCTCTCGTCAATTTTCTTCCCTCCTTTCCTCTTGGTGACGCTCGAAAAACGCGAATATAAGATCGGAGTACAGATCTTTGCATAACGCGTAATGCACAAGACGTAAGAGAGTCGATCAATCAGTTTTTCTTCTGTATGAAAAAAAATAATGAAGGTCTCTGATTGATTGAGTCTCTTTTTACGCTTTATGGGCTTTCTTTCTACAATAAATTATTACCATCTAATTTTAAAATTTTAAAAGATAATCAATAGGCTCAGATGAATAAATACGAAAAAAATAATATAATGCCAATATGAGCCGACACAAGTTATCAGTGTGTTTTTTATATAAAAAATTTATTTGAAATGAATAAATTGTAAATTACGATTTATTATTCATTTCGAATAAATTTGATATATAAAAAACACTGATAACTTGTGTCGGCTCATGGCATTTTATTAATTTTTTTGAATTTATTCATCTGAGTCTATTGATTATCTTGTTTTTAAAAATTTTTTAATTTATTCGAAATGAATAATAACTTGTAAATTACGATTTATTATTCATTTCGAATAAATTTGATTTATATAAAAAACACTGATAACTTGTGTCGGCTCATATTGGCATTTTATTAATTTTTTTTCGATTTAAATTTCAAGTCATTAGAAAATGATCAATTACAGTCGCATTGTTCCTCTCACATTGACCGTGATTGATCGATCAATTTCTTATCGATTAAGACTCGAAGCTTATTGTAGAAAACTTATTATGCGTGCGTTATGCAAAAGTCTGCTATATACGTCGCGATAAGTGGAAATGGATGACACAAGGAAGAGTGCAAACATTCGATTAGATCTGATAAGAAATTACAGTCTCTCGGACTTTAGTGATCTCGCTTGCTTTTATTTATCGGATAACGCGACATGTCAGTTTCTAAACTATTCTCAGATCGTTTTTTATTAAACGTTCGATCGGAAATTTATCCACTCGCATCCGCGGTTTCCTTCATCGATGCATAAAGGGCTGATCTGTAACATGCCCTTTGCTTTCCGTTTCTTGCTCTTTATCACTTTTTTACCTCCTGTCTTTTGCTTTCTTATCCTGTTTCTCCGTTTTCTATCGCTCGAGATAAAAGTTGACGAACTTTGGAAAAGATAAGAGACACACGACAAAAAAAAAACACGATACAAAAAACGGTTTTGCGAAGAGGAGAAAAAGGCAAGAGGTAAAAAAAACAAGGTTGTGCGTTTATGTGTAAAATAATAATCTACATCATTTACGTGCATAATGTAAGGTATGTTAAACTACCGTTTCGCGTGCTATCTACACGGAAAACACAACGTTATATCAACAGCATTACTTTAATTGAAAATAATTTTGTTCACAAATACGTATTCTTGTTTTAATGAAATATTATTTGTTCCATTAATACTGTTATTAAAGCAACAAGATTATTCTCAATCGAAATACCGCTCTTGATATAACATCCTTTTTTCAGTGCAATAAACAATCTATGGCTTATCCAAGTTTATATACTCTTGCACCGGATTGCATAAAACTTCTCTCTCATTTACACATTTTTATTTATTTATCAAAACGTTGAAGTTAGATATATTAACACAATCGTACCTTTTTATGCTATACTATCCAATTTATAGTAATTTACATATTTTACACTGTTTATATAAATTCGTGTAAATTTATATAATATAAACAATAAATATTCCAGTAAACGTAATCGAACGTAACGGCAGAATCTTTATAAAAAAAATTTAAAAAAAAACAAGAAATAGAAAACAAAGAGTCATCGTAGATTAGCCTTGAACGACTCGCCAATCTATTTTTAGAAGATGAAAAAGGAGAAGGTTCTCCAGAAGGGGGTATATATATCGTTATGAAAATGCACTTCGACCTGCATCTCGATGACGGAATATAATTGGGCGTTTTGGCGCGTTTCCCTCGATTTTCGAATCGCGTGCCAATTTATTGCCACACCGTAGAATCTCGCGAAATTGGGTCGCGAACGTTAAAACGTTCACGGTGCCTCTGGAACAGGCGTCTTGCCGATGACGCCACGGCCATTAGCGAGTCCGTAAAAACATGGCAAAAATATTCCTTCTACGTGGAGGAGGGGGAAGACATGCAATACCGCGCAACGTTTTTCGCGAGTTCTCGGACGAAGATCGATCGCCCCATAGACGAGGCGTCGACGTTAAACAGAGATCCTGAGGTATATGGTAGCACGTCGATCGCACGTCGATCGCGATAAAATGCTAATCGCTCGCACGTGACCCTCGCGCGGTGGTTTCACAAATCGGCGCCAAGAATACTCGATCCTCGTAAATCTTCGTCAAGCGTTGAGAAATATATAGACCGAGAAGTATATATACAGTTGTCACCGAAATAAGTCTATCTTCTCGCGGCGAAACGCGTGAAATTGCTACAGTGACTCGCCGTCGAGATCTTTTGCGAGGTGTCGACGAACTCGGCCATTAAATGATTAATTAGACGCAGGAAATAGACTCCGGAGAATCTTTGCTATCTCTGACGTAATAAAATCTCTGACCGCAGCGAAATTTCACGACTGACTCTTTCGCGACAATTTTCAAAAGGTTAATTTTTTTTTTTTGCGCACAATTTAGTCTCACTTGATCTCGTTCTCTTATTCAGATATTCACTGAGCTTACCTCGCCGTTAAATCTTACGCTAAATACCAGAAAAAAAGCCCGAGGTCGTCGAACCCTCTTCGTTTCCGGAAAAAAGAGCGACTAGCAAAGGATGTACCTCAATGCGGCCTCCCAGGACGAGACGGCGAACATTACGTTGTCGTTCGACGACGACGAGGGAAACATGAAAGACAACCACGATTCTCTCCTTGTCACGAATGGAGAGACGTGTGTCGTCGTTTCGCGATCGCTTCTTGTTTGCCTCACGTATTTTGTTTCAAACCGCAAGGTCGTTTTACACGCTCGCGTGTATATTTAACGGTCTAGCGAGAGGCCCATATACGCCCGCATATATGCGCACATGTGCAAATAACAAGTTCTTATTCTTATCGAGAAACGACTCTGTGATCGCATCTTCGCTCTCGTCGTTTATTTGATCCCCAACACACGATTGCGACTAATTCGCGGCTGCATCGCGCATTTTCTTTTTCCTTTGAAAAAAACTGCACTGAAAGAAAAGATTGTGGCTGCTGCAGCAATTTAGACGCAACGGCCAATTAAAAATGCTATGCGATATTCAGTCTGATCTTCCCTTTCAGTGAATAGGATAGTTTCAAGTAAAGTGAATATTACAATGTGTGAAAATTTTTTTTCATTAGAATATTTATAATTTTATTCATCAACACCTAGCGAATCTATTTTCCAAGTTGATTTTCTTTATAGCTGAATTAACGTATATTCTTTGTATGTAAAGTAGATAAAAACAGTTTCACACAGCAATTCAGCGCAGCAACGTAAAAATAAAACTTATCTACATAGAATTGTTTTTAATTTTTGCAAAAGTAATAAAAACAGCTCGAACAGGGTTGCCACAAATGTGTAATCGTTAAATTTCCTGACATTTCCCTGACTTACTAATGAAAATTTTGAGATTTCCCCTGACCTCGAATGATACACACTTTGCAATGTTTCTTGTAATTTCCAGCAATTGTACAGAGATGCTGATTTTTGGGAGGAATCGATGTCAAAAAAAAGATCACGGCAAAGCGTAAAAGGCTAACAATGTACATACAGCCTGCAGCTATTCCAATTTCCCCGACAAGCGTGCTAAATCCCTGACTATTCCTGACCTCCCTGACTTGTGGCAATCCTGTCGAAAAACACGCAACGCGTGTATCTACTTTTCATCGTGCGAATATATACTTACTAAGAGTCAAGACGACGAATGAATTTTTTCTTCAGCACCAAGTATACGCGTTCCTTTTTTTTTTTTTACTAACATCGGAACTGTCGGACGCTGCGACAATGAGTCACAATAACGCGAATCCAAACACGATGTAACGCGGCTCGAGCTTGCGTAACTTCGTGCGTTCAGTTATTCCCGGCGCGTCGAGGAAACTTTTATATTGAATTACCTTTGCAGAAGAGATCCGACTGCGACGTCTTCCGCTTATTGTGCGCTCGCCTTTATCCGACGGTAAACTCTGGACGACGCGTCGTAGGACGTATTACACGCACACACACACGTATGTGGGCATATACAGAGAGAGCCCAGCGGAATACCGCGTGATTGGAAAATGCAAATGACGAGCGCGCGAGAGTCACGTCATAATGGCAATTGGCACGCTCGGTTGCCACGAGCGACGCGGTTTCGCCTCGTCGACGAGACTCTGCCGGCTGCCACCGGCTAGGCCTGTCCGCGGAAGGAAATTGGATTCTACCCCATTCTACTTTCACGGTGCATTTCAGCTCACCGCGTCGCTCGCTCGCATCAGCTACGAAGGTTTCCAGCCCGGGGGACAACGTTGGGGCGTTCGCTATCGTCGCGCGCGCGCGCGCGGGATAAATGAAACAATCCGGAACTGGAACATGGTCGTATTCGGTTAATTGATAATCGCCGCGTCGGTTGGACCAAAGTAAACAAGCGTTCGGAACACGTGCGACGGATTTTTGTCGTTCGTGTATCACGATCGTTGCTTGTAAACCTCACGCTCGGTGCATGTTTACGCGCGCAATTTATGTAATTGCGATTTAAAAATAGACGTAGAGATCCTCGCGAATCGATCTCCCCATCATAGAGAACCGATGATCCCTCACGACGAGAGAAAACCTCGCGATTACTCTTCGCAGGATTAACGGATACAACTTTTCCGCAAGTGTGCGAAGCCCGTTCTACAATTGCATAAGGCCGGAATCAGACTACGCAATGAAGATTGAGATTGAAAGATTGAATTTTGACTAATCAAAATAATAGGAGTTAAAATTGCTTTATCCTCATTGGTTAAATTTCAACTTTCGATCTTCAATCTCAATTTTCAACGCGCAATCTGATTCCGGGCCTGAAGCCTGTATACTGGTTTACGATACTCGTAAATGGTTGTAGGCGCGAGAATTGACCAATCCCAGCCCCACGCTCGCCTCGCATTCAAATGCGATTGGTGAATTTTTTGAAATCGTGAGAACCACTTACGGTTACGCTTTACGCAACTGTGAAATGGGCTTGAAGCTAATATCGAGCCCATTTTTAAAATTGCGTAAGCAATAAGCGTAAATAATTACAGTTGTAAAAAATGGGCTTTACATTGCCGATTTTTCAAACGCGTTAATTGGCTGCGCGATCGAGAGGTTCTCGGAACTCTCTATAGCTAATCGACAAAGCTTGAAAAGTTTGTCGCACGACGAAGTTACTCTTGGCTGGAAACCGTATTACATCGACGATACTCTCGCGATTAATCATCGAATGGGTACTTCGTGTCCAATAAAAAAAAATCCAAAGTCATCGTTACGCGAAATTAGGTTGCTCAGTCAGTTTTTATACGGCCTTCCTCGCCACCGTGTCGGGAAAAAGTGCATCGCATTCTCTGGCAGTTATCTCGCGCGATCGATAAAATTCAGTTTAAACAAAGTTTCGAATTTCACTGAAATAACGGCCGGCGTTTCTCGTTGCGCAAAGAAAAAAAAAAACCCCTATTTCGTCTCTAACATTAAAGGAGGGAAGAGAGAATATACGGTGAAACGGTGTCGACTTACCCGCCCTTGGAACTTCACGTGCTGCTCCGCGCTCCAATTCCAGGCGCATTTATGCGTCTCGATCCATCGTGGCGCATAGTATCGACTGTCTTGCACTTGCCGCAGCGAGAACGATCTCCGCCGGTTTCACGATGTTGCCCGCCGACCGCCACTGTGGCGCATTCCACGGCGTGGAATACGCGCGCGATATATATATATATATATATATATAAGCCACACACTCACTCACGCCCGCACACAACACAGAGATGAGAAGTACACGCGTGCGCGCGCGCGCGCGTTTACAAACCCGAAGGTTTTGACTGAAGATTCGCCGAAATTATCGCGAGCGGGACACTCGCGAGTCTCGGACGCGTCGCCGTAGCGAGTAAGACGCGACTGCGGAGACGTGAAGTCGCAACCGAGGACGATCAAGGGTAACTAGGTTATCTTCCGCGATCCTTCTCTCGTTCGCGAAACGCTCGCCGAGAAAAATTCGGCCGATCCACAAAAGAGCACTGATCGGTCCCGACGTGATAAAAAAAAAAAAAAAAATCGAGCAATCTCTCTCTCTTTATGATCGCGTAAAGCTGGTTGGATGTATCGCGCGATAACTCGGCGAGATGCGACGACCAATGCCGAGACGATACCGTTGCTCGCGCCGTAGATTACGCACTGCAATGTCCGCAATCAGACGCCATGATGTCGCGAAGGTTAGGATAATAGCAGAGTCGTATCTCCAGGGGGTCCCAAATTGATTCAACGAAGGTACCACGCTGAATTCTTCGTAAAAAAATTTTTATTATCGTGCCAATAAATATTAAGATTAGATATGTCGTAGCTTGAGAGAGCAGGGCTGTTTCGAGGCCGTAATTGGAGCCGCCTTATCATTATCAAAGCGATTGGTTTTTTTGAGACCCGCTATTATATTATATACAGATCATAAATATATATCGAATTAAACTAAAGATATTTTGCGACAATTCCGTTCGGAGAAGGGAGAGAAATGAATGGACGAAATGTAATTTGGCATAAAAAAATCTAACGTTAAAAAAATTTATTTTTTATATCTTACCCCGTATATCTAAAATAGATATTTTAAGCTTTAAGCCGTAAGAAATTAACTAATTACAGTCGAAAATTCGAGGAGAATAATCGATTATGATTCGTCCATTTCTTATGGCTTGAGGCTTAAAACTCTATATAGATCCGGGATTAGGCAGAAAAAAAAAAAGAGACTATCCTGTCCATCCCCAAACGAGTAATCGTCGCGATTCAACACAATTGCGAAAGATCCTAAGTTTATGACGTAACAAACTTAAAATATACTTTTGAGTATCGTAAAAGTTTGCAAGAAATTGTTTCTTGCGCGTCGCTCATATGTGTAAAAAAAAAATCTAAATTCAATATATTATAACTTTTGACGGCTTATTACGCGAATAAGATTTTTAATCGTTGCTTCAACTTCCAGCGTTTTTGACATGCGTTCGATAAAAGTGTTGGCCCTGCCATGTATTTATATTGCATGGATATATAGATATATTTATATAAATATACGTGTAAAAAAGTAGAAAGAGTTTGCGATGTACGCACGCGAAGAAAGCGGTGGAATGATATAAATATTATGAAAGGTACGCTGGCATACCTATATAAATGTTAGGACAGAGTGGGACTTTCTCGCGATAGTGTTTATGTTTTTGAACAGCTTACACTGAACATGTGAAGCTCTCATGCTTTCGAGAAGCAATCACGATTGTATAAGACAGTTGTAAACACATTTGCTGCCAAGAGATATCGTTTTGCTGCCGTAAATTTTATATTACTTTAATAGACTTTTTACAGTAAACTATCGTACCTAAGCTTCGAGTCTCAAGCCGTAAGAAATTGACCAGTCGCAGTCGAATGTGAACAATTGACTCCCGAGGAGAAAAAAACAATCAAAATTATGTCAATTGACCGAATTTAATCATTTTTTGATCATGAAGAAAATCTCGATCTCAGATGATAAAATGAAAAGGATGATAGTAATGAAAAAGTTAATATAAAGACATTTTTTAGTTATTTGAGATCGAGATTTTTATCATGATCAAAAAAATGACTAAATTCGGTCAGTATAGCGTCTAATTGACATTATTTTGATTGTATCGTTCCCCTTGGGCTGCGATTGGTCAAAATTTCTTACGGCTCATCTTTTTAGAGCCCCAACACACACTTTTGCATAAAGCATATGCATAAGGAATTTCATTGGCCCATTTTCTTATGCATGAGTCAATGGACTAATCAAATTCTTTATGTATATGGTTTATGCGTTATGCAAAAGTCTGTGCTCCCCGCTTAAGTCTTTATCTTTAAGTAGAAAGTTGAGACTTATGTAGAAAGCCCATAAGATTGAAACTAACGGAATAGCCCCGTCCTACCCTATTTGTATAAAAAAACATCATTGCTGACTCAATGACGGATTTGCGTCGCTTGTGGCGAGTTACTCGCGACTGAACATAAATAAATTGTCCTCGATATATAAATGTTGTTACACACAAGGCACGCAAACCTGGCTGCGTTCGCTAGGAAGAAAGAGATCGACATGCAGTAACTTTGAAGAGAAGACTCGTGTGGCTCTTCCCTTATCTCAACATGGAGAATCCTTTCACTTTTGTGAAACGAAACGGTCTACAGTGTATATAACGCATGTTGCACTCTGGTGACGAGGCACGTACCGGCGTGCTAATTTCATTCTCCTTATTCCAGGCGTGTCTCGGTGATTCGATGCCAAAGGGACTGTAGAGTTTGGTCGGCGTACGGCCTAAAAGTTGACGGGAGCGAGTCTGAGGTGTCTGCATGTTGGACGGAGACTGTTGTTCTTCCAATCGTTGACGTCTTCGTGTGGAACTCTTAAATTTCTATATGTAGGAAAAAATTTTTTAAGTTCACTTGCTTGGTTTTGATATATGTATATGTTATTAATATTACATATTTGTCATTTTAGTATAATACAATAAATTTATACATCTGATAGATTTTCTACAATAAGCCATTATCTACAGTTTAAATTATCTAAACCTAAGAAATTAATCGATCAGAGGCGATCATTCCTCTTACATTTGACTGTGATTGGTCAATTTCTTAAGACTTACAGCTTGGATAAAAATTTAGTATAGAAAGCCCATTAGACATTTATACTAAAACTTTTAATAGGAATTTTTAATTGAAATTCTCCTCTTATTTTACAAGTATAATTATTTAATGCTAATTAATACGAGGATAATTGTTTTATAATTTAAATAGGATCAATTTATTGAAGCAAATAATTAAAGTTATCATTAAATATCAAATAAAGATGAAAAGATAATATATTAATTTGAATTTGTTGAAATCTATATAATAAGACAGAGTCAAATAGAAAGAGAAAAATAGAAGAAAATTAAAGAGATCAAGTTCACTTCCTGACAATTTCTTCATGTTTACGTATCTCACCTGGGATATCGTGCCAAAAGTAGTACGCACGGAGGATATCGTCCTGGACAGCTTCTCGGCCCCGCTTCGTAACGCTCGCCTCGAATCCGCGGATACGTTGCCAAGGCTGATGTTGTTCCACGGTCGGTCGGTCGACTCCTTCGATTCCTTCGCCTTGTGCGACTTCCCCTTCGCATCGTTGTTGGACGTTCCCCGTTCTTTCTCGAATCGATCTTGCAGCCGCTGACGCAAATTCCGCGAGCTCCGCACCATCTCCGGCGAGTTTCGCACGCTCAACACCTCCCGGTGAAACGTGAACGAGACGCTACGTGAGTCCGGTCGCATCCTGCTAGATCTTTTGTCGTCCGTGTGTAACCGTACCGTCGTATAAGTCCTGAAGCCCCGTCCTCGGATAAGTGTCCTGAATGACACACCGGATGACGAAACGCAGTCGCGACCGTTGATAACCGTTTTTCTCAATGATTTTTTAACCACCTGATGACCCGAATCCCGTGGTAACGACTAGAAGGGAAACTCCCGTTCCCATAACATTTTTATGGGGTTCCGCAGCGCAACTCGCGTCGGAAGGGACGACCTAAATTAGTGGACTTGGCGCTTAATTTTGAAAACGTATTCCGATTTGCAATTTTTGAAAATTTAGTACTACAGTTTTCTAATATATATTTTTTCAATTTTCGGTATTGTATTATATTTTCTCAGTACACGAGATGTACATACATATTATTGATAGTTCCAAGAATTTTTCATTCTTCCAAAATTTCAGAATCTCAAATAGTCAACAAAAAGTATCACGAGAGTACAATTCGCAAGTTGCATTGTTCATACGTTTAAAATAATTGTCGAAACGTCTTCGAGACATTCTTTATTGTGATAAAATCCGAAAGACATGAAAAATTGTTCTCGTGTTCCCTGAATTGTCTTCGAGACAAATTGAAGCTCCGTTTTCGTAAGAACGTTTGAAAACAAAGTATAATTTTATATTCGTACCTACACGTTTATTCGGATCCGTAAATACATCCTATAAATAACAAACGATCAGATTAATGTTTACAAGCTAATCATTAACCGTCGTGGCGGTCATGGCAGTCACGCACTTCCGTCCCTCCGCGGGCCTTTAATGACACTCCGCTGGGGCGTCTAGTTATTTTTTTACTCCATGCATCCCGACGCGACGCGTACCACGTGACGCGTAGTCACGGGGCCGGCCTCAGCGGGGGGTAGGGGAGGGCGCGGGGAGGGCGGGCCGACGGCGGGCGGCGTTGCCGTCAGTCAGCCGTGGCTCGCCTCGCGGCTCGTTGCTGGCAACAACGCTATTCGTTAACGGCCAGCCCGTCCGCCGCCGTCGCGGCGCACAGTGTACGATATTCGTGCGGCCCCCGGACACATCTGATGTTTGTGTTTTCGTGCCTCTCGTGATAATAAAACTCGTCGCGGACGTTGTCACGCGAGGGTGAGCGCGACGCGCGCGCGCGCCAGCAGACGCGCCGCCCTGGCATGTAGCTATCGCCACCGGTCCACGTCGTCGGCGTCGCGCCGACCGGCCCTCGAGATGTGGACGACGACGAAAACCACCAAGTACGGCGTCGGTAAGTCGGCTTTTATCTGTGCAACGCGCGCCGAGTCTCTGACCGGTCTGTCCTCTCTCTCTCTCTCTCTCTCTTCTCCTTCCGCTTGCCGTTCTACTCGAGCTGTCAAATTCACGGCGCGCGGTCCGACCGGCCCGCGGAGAATCCGTGACGCTCGCGCGGCGTATACGTGAACAGTTCGCGATGATATCTCGCGTCCGCGGGCGGTTTTGTCTGGAGATGACGTTCGCGCGAGGATCCTCATGACAAACGCGCGCCGGTGGCGGCGGGCGGCAGCGACGTGCGTTCGTTCGCGCGTGCGAGTGTGGGTGTTCCCGCACGCGTGTGCGGGTAAACCCCCGTGCGTGTGCTCTGTGCTCCATTCATGCATTGATCGTGCGCGCGAGTAGTAAAGTCCGCGCTTGATAAAGCCGGGTTCGGTCCCGGATTTCGCGCCTCCGCGCTCTTCCGATGCGCGACGGAACACTCTCGACCGCCTTATCTCGGACGTTGGAAAAAATGCGCGCTGGCTAGGATATTTAGCAAATTTCAATGGACATTCTCGAAGACGAATCCTTTGTAACAATGTTTTGCACGAACGATGTTAATTTTAGCGTACACGCTGCTGATTTAATATATATAGATATTAGTAAAGTAAAATAGTAGATAACGCGTCGATATATCTATATGTATTACCTTGGAGAATTCCATTTCGCGTATACGAGAGATACGCGAAAACCTGACTCACACTAATTATCGTGTCGAGTAAACAGATATATGTACGATAGGACAGAGGACAGGGAGAAATTTTACAAAACACCAAACCTTGCGGATTTTGATGTCAAGGCATTTCAACTGTAAACAAGAGAGAGAGAAGTCGGAGATTAATCACTCTTTTAACAATACAGTAGACAAATCTAATGTCAAGTTTAATTATTATAAATTGCCAATTAAAATATTGCAGCGATTCTACATAAAATCCACGTTACTTAACGTATAACAAAAACACACAAATATAGCGGGGAGGTTGATGGAGGACTTCACTTAAAGGCCACAGACTCAGACTTTTCAGACAGAATCGGAATATGAAATGAAGGATTCTGATTGGTTGATTCTATTATGTCTTATGCCTTATGCAGAAGTTTGTGCTGCGCAGCCTTGAGGGTACATTCACACAAACTTGTCTAGTCGCATAAACGTACGCATAACGAAATTATCCAATCGTATCTCTCTTACAAAGTTGCAAGTCAAATGTGATTGGATAATATTTTCTTTATGCATATATTTATACAATTGATTATGCAAGTTTGTGTGGATATACCCTTAAGTCTATTCTACGATGACCGTAAGCCGTAAAAATTGACCAATCGATTATTCTCCTCATATTCGATTACGATTGGTCAATTTTTTACGGCTTACGGTCATTGTAGAACAGACTTTATGGGTTTTCTAAGCCATTACTTAAACCTTAAGTCATAAAAAAAATTGACAAATCGTAGTCGAATGCTCTCTAAATTTTTTGGAGTGAGATTTTAATCTTTTGGAGCAAAGATCTATTTTCAAAAAAGGAGTAGGACTTCCTTCCTTTATTGGAGTATAAATCTCACTCCAAAACAGTTAAATCTCACCTTAAACAAGAGTGAAACAATTTGCCATGTTTATTTAAGAATACAAATATTTTCATTCTTTTTCAATAGTGACAGTATTTTTATTCTTCTGGAGGGAAATTTCGTTCCAAGAAATTTTTAGAGAGAAGAATAAAAATACTGTCACTATTGAAAAAGAATGAAAATATTTGTATTCTTAAATAAACATGGCAAATTGTTTCACTCTTGTTTAAGGTGAGATTTAACTGTTTTGGAGTGAGATTTATACTCCAATAAAGGAAGGAAGTCCTACTCCTTTTTTGAAAATAGATCTTTGCTCCAAAAGATTAAAATCTCACTCCAAAAAATTTAGAGAGCATTCGACTATGATTGGTCAGTTTCTTACGGATTTTTTAAGACTAGCTTAAGCTTACTGTGAAAAGCCCATTATGGAGAACGTATGCAAAGAAATATTTCTTGTTGATGTTGACTATAAATATTTAATATGAATATAAAAATGGATTAAAAAACATGAAGTCCTCAGTACGGAGACAGTTTGATAAATCGGTGGTTTTTTTTAAAAGGAGATTATGAGAGAAATAAGTGGAATTGATTTTTTATTTAAATATAAGTCGAACTTTTTTTTATTTTTATATAAAACTGTAGAACTATGAAAAGTGCTACTAGAACTGCCCTTATTTTTTTTTATATTAATAAAATGTCGTGCCAACTTCATAGATCTAGAAAATTCTGTGATTCGTCCATTTCTAATTAATCCAATCAGTGATGTTTTCAGTGTGCTGTTAAGTGAAATGTATTTTATAATTCGAAACATTTGCATTTTGTTTTTACATAAATTAAATCCGTGTACGACAATTTTAGATATGCACATATAATGCGTCTGGTGCATTTTTAGAAAAGATTAGGAAATATTTCATGAAATATTCAAAAGATAATGCAAATGGAATTTTATCGTTGCACTGGAATGTCTATGTGCGACGATGTTTAGCTATATATATAGTCAAGTGGCTGCGTCTGCTCGAAAATCTTCGACGCGGCGAAAAGTATGCGAAGACGAAAAGAACGCGACTCTGGCTTCGGAATCGGAATCAATTTACAGCGCGGCATCGTCCGGCATTTCTTCGCGATTAATTAACGCTCGCATTAAGCGTTCAGTTTAAGGTCGTTAGCATCACCGTCGACTCGATCTTCTTTCAAGCAGTGCAAGCGGCTCTAATCCGATAAATAGCGTCTTTAGTCAGCGTGATGAGATTAATCATTGATTCCTGGGCTCTCCTCGTTTTAATCATCGGTGCTTCTCGTTGTCACTCACCTATAAGGACGTTTTTATGCAATTTATTAAATAAAATTTCGACAAGATAAATAATCACCGAGAAAGATTGTATATAAATTTTGTAACTTTTCAATAATTATATTCTTTATTTAAAAAATTCTAAATATAATCTAAACTAAAATATAGTTCCAGACTCCTTTTAATAACAAAATTAATACAAAATATATGAATAAATTACAAAATAAAGGCTATAGGAGTCAACGCTGGTTAAAAATTAGCGCAATAATCTAAATTATTCCATTATTGTAACGATCATAAGGACATCTCATAATTACATCGTTTGAGACTCAAGTATTTTTTAGCCTTATATATATTCATATTTTGTATTAATTTTATATTCTTTATATTGATGAAATATTAGATTTTCACTTTTTTTATTTTAAAAATTATTTATTTATATACATATATGTGTATTTTTTTTTTGCAAATATTTTCACTTCAAATATATAATGAAATAGAAACGATTCGCAGACTCCTTTTGTTCGCACGTGATAGCTTCCGGGATTTTTCTCGGCTGTGCTCGGACTCGCACGGTCTGAGTGTGTTAGCGACGCGATTAAAGCACAATCTTTCAATCTACCAATGTACGGCACTATTCACGCGGTCATGCCCCTATGCATTATTTCTTTTTAGCAGGTCCGTTGTAGATGTAGAACTGCGCCCCGTCTTCCTCGTCTCTTTTCCTCTCTCATTCTCTCTCGTGGCAGTAAGTCGGCAGATGCGTTATTCCTGCCATTACCGAGACCATCGTGCCGTAAACTCCGAACACCAAAGGCAGATCCATTTGAACTCGAAAATATCGGAAAAGCCTCCAAAGCACCGCTTCTCTTTTTACGATATCCCGCCGGTACCGTTTCCGGTACCCTAGATAGGTAATATCGCAGGCTCTTTTTAAAATTGTATAATTTCACTTTTATTCCAAATTTTA